TGGTACTCCCTTAATGGAGGATACTCTGACAGGGTGTAAGGCCAAATCAGATATACCCTTTGGTCTAACAATTCCACTTATAAACTCATCCTCAAAACTTGTTCCTCTGAATGTACGAAATTAAACATGCAAGGATGTGCAATGAAATATAGTTTATAACAGTAGAGTATGCTGCAAATATTGACTATTTGGAAACGATCCATATATTAAAAAATAAAGGAGTTTCATTCATTCAACTGTGAAACATCAGTATTATATAGATCATCAAGAATAATTTAAGAGCAAATTTACTAAAATGGAAAGAATTCCATATACTGTTTGTGTAAAGAAGATTAAAAAGAGTATGATCCCATTTTAATGAAAATACATAGACAGGAGTGCATGTAAACACACACACACACACACACACATACACAGGTTGGGAAGAGTATACCCTAAGAAGGTTCCCAGTGATTGGCTATTTCAACAAGACCTATGACAAGACCTCCAGAACAAAAGGAATAATTGCTGCAATTGGCAAAAATGAAGCTTAGAACAATACTTACATCGACTGCAGCATCTTCATCATCTGAATCTTGTAGACCAAGAGCCGCTTTTTGTAACTTCTTCCTCTCATTAGCCAAAGCTTGCTCTGTTTCATCAAACTTGAATCCCTTACCAGAGAACCCACTACTCTTTTTAATTATTTTCCCCTCCTTTTAAAAAAACAAAAACAAAAAAGTTAATTGCATAGTAAAAACTTTACGTTTAGGAATTTATAGCAATTAAATTTTTTTCAAAGTGGTTTATGCCAATGTAACAAAAACAATTCATCCGCTATTTAAGAAAAAATAAGAGCTCTCAGCAGACATCACAAAATACTAAGTTCAAGCAAAAGATCAGATATTATTTTCACTCTTTTCCACCTCTCTGAAGAGACAAATGAAAATAGTCTTATTAAACTTCCAAAATATTAACAAAAAGGATTTCCAAGTATTAAATATTTAAGCTTTAGAACATATTAATGA